AAAAAATAATTTGTGGTGCAAATGTGCAGGTAACTTCGCATAGAAATGCTCTATGAGCATTTGTCCTATTCTCAAGCACTACGACATAGAGGGACATGCATTTAACATTACAGACATGGATTGTACTTCAATGTGTGAATTTTAACAGGAAATGCACATAATTCATAAATGTTGCTGCTCAAATTGTAAATGTAATATAAAAAATAACAGATACGGAAAAGAACTAAGTACAAGTACAAGGCAAGTGAACCCTGTACTTAATTAATTAAGCACCATGTCACAAAGATGTATGGGGAAGCTAAACTATAGGCCCACCCACATGAGGTACTGTTCAAAATGACCCCCCCCCACACACACACACTTGATGCACAATGTTGTGTGTTGCAACAGTGACCGCATAGCGCTGTGAATTGTTTCAGGGTTACTCTGAATGTTATCAGCTGTTTGCATTATTCTATCAACAAGTTCATCTCTTTGTTGGTGAATTTTGCTGGTCCATCAATGTCTTCACGTGGCCCAAAAGGACATAATCAAGTAAAATGAGATCAGATGACCTTAATGTTCATGAAACAGTCAATCCACCGATCACTATACTAGCAATTCAAGTACAGCATGTAACATGTTCCCACAATGCAGAGGTGCACAGCATGTTAGATCCACTTTCCTGCCCTTGTCCATAGAGGAATATAATTTAAAATTCAAGGCAGTTCATTCCAATGGGGAGAGTAAATGTTGCACATTAACCATCTGGCATGCAATTGTGTCTGAATCTGTTAATATTTATATTATGTTTTAGCCTTGTATATTAAATTTACAATTTGAAAAGTAGAGTTTATGGATACTGTTGATTGCCCTTTAATTTGCAAAGTAAAATCCAGGTGGGTAACTGTAAATGTCCTAATAACAATAATGTTTCAGAGTCAGTAACATGTTCATACTATATTTTTGACCCAGAATACCTAATTAATAACCTTCTAAGTCTGGTCTTTTTTTTTGTAATACACTTCTAACACTGTTGTGGTACCATGTTGCATGAATTCTACCATCAGCACTCCTTTCGTATCCCAAAAAACAATTTCCATCAGCTATCTGGCAGGCAGACAACATTTATATAAACCCTTTCAGCTTGTTTGGTGAATGTGTGTGCATCCACTGGTTTTAGTGCCCTTTGGTTTCAATACTCACAAATGTAAGCAGGTTTCATCACATGTTACTTGCATAATGTGATTAAGAAATTCATCACCATCTTTGAGGTATCACTCTAAAAAAGTCAAAGCCGAAGTCATTCCCTACATTTGGTATGCACATGTGAGCACTTTTAGGACCCATCTTGCACAAAACTTGTGACAGCCTTTAGTAGCAAAATATCTATACAATTACACAAAGGTAAAGTAGTATCCCAGTGCCTAGCCATTAGCTTTTGAAAGCATGAGAGAAGAGCCCCAAACACCCTAGCCTTCAGCCATACATTAAGATGAGTTGGTAGTTCCGCACTCCAGTGTCTTACATAAAGTATGCCTCAGAGAGGCCCAATATCGAGTCTGGGCTAAGCTGTGATGAGAAAAATCTTCAATACTGCTGAGAACTGAATATTGGTCTTCCAGCCTGGACAGTCAATTTACTTAGCTATCTCATCTCAATAAAAACAAGCAGATTAATGAAACTGGCTTCCTACCAGTGATAAGTCAATGATTTCTCTCTCATCTGAAATGACTAAGATCATATTGGAAACTTACCTCACAGCATGCAATACAATCTACTTCAATCTGATCTTTTTAGGAGTGTCAAAGGAACACAAGACACAAAGCTATTCCTGTCCTTTGGAATGATTCATCTATAAAACTACTATGACACTGTACTGGGGGTCAGTAATAAAAGTTGCCTGGCTCAGCTAATGTTAATCCACAGTGACCCTTTAGAGCTCAAAATTAACATGAGACTTAACTTGAACTTATACTTAGAAAATCTATAATTTTTACTTTAAACAGTTTCCATTATGAATTATAATAATGGAAATGCAAAGAAAAATACTTCCATGACTCTGCAATGTGATAACTGTAAGTTCTACAATATGAGATGCATGCAGATTTATGATGTATATATATTCACAAAAAGGCACATTTGGAAAACTTCTATACCCCAAAATGGAGTACCTTCTCAGCTCTCCTTCTTGTTAGACTGAGCAAAACAGCATGTCACAGATCTATGTGTGAGAGCACAATGTTATGAAACCATCCAAGTTGGGTGACTGCATTTAAGTCCATTATCTGTTTCCTTTACCTTTCTTGGGGTACTGGGTAGGTCTGTGTTTAATGCAGGTTTGCACAAACGTGAACAAACACTACTACAAAATGATAAATAAAACAAGAAGTTCTGAGAAGGGCTTATAACATGATCTTTCCTTCAAATCTTCAATCTGCAAAGAATACAATTTAGTGGTTCATTTGTGTGCATAATTTTTCATCCATTATAGATTCTGATTATGCGGAATTTCTTAACCTCAGCAACTGCCCCGTCACTTTGCTTGCAGTTTTGACATATATATCTGTGTGTGTTTCATAGGAAATTTATAAGCATGATTACGATCCAACTACACATTAATTTCCACATCCCTAAATCCAATGTTTCCTAGTCAGCATGACCTTACTGAAACATATATATAGCTACCATGTAATTGTTTTGCTATCTACAACAAACTTTTCTTAAAAAAAAAAAGCTGTATACCATTTGAAAAAGCTTCTCTGAACCAAATATAAGAACAGGTAAAAAACCGAAGAGTGCCTCTTTCAGGATGTGGTGCCATGTAGATCTTGTGTGAACCAACATTTCGGAGGAACATGCTGCCTCCATCTTTATGAGAGAAAAATTTGTGAGCAGGTGGCTGGCAGACTGAGCCACCAGTCAATAACACCATGAACATGGTGGCAACACGTTCCTCTGAAACATCAGTTATACATGATTTACATGGCGCCACATCCCAGAAGACAGCATTCTTCATAGTCACCCCTAAGAAAACCCCAGATCCTAAAGGTAAAGAACACTTTGAAAACTGGTCATCATACCAATATTGTTATTCTCAACTTAAAATTCAGCAGCTAACTTCAAAATTCAAAATCCCTTATTCCCCGACAATAAAAGTATTACAAGTAGATTCAGTTCTGGGAATGCCTACCAATCAGGTCAGAATTTGTCTCTTCAGTTCTCATATCTAAAAATATGAAGATTACTGCCAAAACATGTAGTGTAAAAGTGAAGAGAAAGGTGAAATTGTGTGCACTCTAAGATGGTTAGCAAAAATACACATCATGGACAGAATTATAGTTTTACTTGTTATTTTCTATGGGTGCGATACTTTGTTTCTCACTGTATGGGAAGCACATAGACTGAGGTTGGACCTGAGGACTTTCAACACACTACACAGCATTATATCGCAGGACTGAGGGTGTTGAACAGAGTAATAATGGGGAATATTTAGGATTAAAAGATAGGAAGTAAGTTAGATAAAACTGTATAATGAGAACTTCATAATTTGTAACCTACAACTACCATTAAGTTGATCAAATCAAGATTCAGCCAGAAATCCTTAAGGGAATAGCACACTTGTGAGACCCAGGCACAGACAAGAAAATAACAGATATTAAGAGATAAACTATGAGGATATGAACTGACTGCATCTTGTTCATGACACAGTCCAGTAGGCATCCTCATGAACAATGAAACTAACTTTCACATTCCATAAAAAGGAGGGAATTTCTTGACTAACTCAATGACTACCAGCTTCTCAAAAAGGATGGTGTTTCATGAAGTGTGTGTTGGTTTTCCTGTCTGTGTCTCAAGAAATACTCTTAGACTACTATAAACATTCTTCCTCATAGGAGACATAGTAATAGGCTTTAAATTTGTATTAATGAAGTTCTACAATTGATATTTTTTTGGCAACCAAATGTAGGAACATTTAATAAAGAATGATGTGCTAATGTTTCAGTGAAGGTTGTTAAGTGGGGTTAGAGTCAATTAAATGTTGAACAGTTCTACTGAATTTATGAGAACACATATTTCAGAATACTGTACCCTCATATGTTCATTCATATGCCAGGAATTAAAACTGAAGGAACAGGAATGAAACAGCTTGATGGAATTTGTGTAGATCAGCGGTGTCAAACATATGGCCCCCATTGCCACAAAGTGCAGCCCCTCAACTTTTAGAGCTAACTGATATTAAAATCAATATTAAAATTTTAGTAGAAATATTTTTTGTAAAGACAATTTTCCAACAGACCAGAAGACAAGAAGTCTCACGCAGACATAAATTAGCAGGCTGCAGGATTCAATGTTTTGCTATTTCTAACATAACTTCTTGTGTAATCTCTCTTTTTACATACTGAAAAGTTGTTTGATACTTGTCAAAAATGGCATTCTCTTGCTTTTTAAAACTGTAAGATATGTGACTTTAGGTAATTATATTGAAATTATTCCTAAATAATAAATAGAATTAAATTTCCTTATATCAAAATCTAATGTATATTTCTATTTTGAAGTGCAGCCCAGGACTATTATTTATAGGGCTGAGGTGGCCCTCTGTACAAGTTGAGTTTGACATGCCTGGTGTATATTAAAATGTCTGCAAACAGTGCAGAGAGAGGGAGAAACAGAAATATATTAGATATTGCCCAACTTAAATATGAACCTGGACCAACTGGAAAATCGTAAGCAAGCAGTTTGTACAACTTCTTTGCAATAACAGTATGAAATGTGTGCATAATAGGATGCAGTATCTGTTATTCTTCATGATTCATCTCTGAAACTTGTCGACAATCACTCACCCAAGAAATTATTCATTCTTAAATTCTAGGATCTGTGAAAGATGATGATACTACTACTACTACTACTACTACTACTACTACTACTTCTGCTTCTGCCACCACCACAACTGCTGCTACTGCCATCATTAGCACTACTATTACTAATAAAATAACAACACTAATAACAGCAACAAATACCACGAGAACGACTGCGGGTGCGGGAGTGTGTAGACAGCCCACGGTTGGGACGCTGTGGCACTCTGAGGAGTCCCAGCACATGGACCAACTCATACTGGGTGATCTCACTGCGAGAAACAGCTCGCTGGCTCAGCCGCAGGTAGAAGGACCGACGCTGCTGCTCTGGAGATGTGCTGTGGCCAGTGTTGGCTGTCACTGGGGGGTTGGATGAAGGCTGCTGCTGGGGTGAGTGAGCACTCTGTGATGATGAACTGGAGGTGTCTCCAGAACTGCTACTGTCATCACCAACTGATAACTGACCTAATAAACAGAATATGACATGTGTTTAATTTAATGTAAAAAAATTAGAGAACAATTATCCTTTACAGAGATTCAGAATGGTATGTGCTTTATTAAGGTTACTCTCTGGTTTATTATCCAAGTCTGAATTACAATATACCATTTAATAAACGTGTAATGAGAAAGTTAAATATTTGTCTGTTTAATTTTCAAAACCACACAATATAGTTTGTGAAATGTGGCACATGCATGCCTACACCAGAAAGCCTTCCTTTACATGAAGATCATATTGTATGTACAACAACTGAAAACATAAAAGTGAATTTAAAAAAATTTCTTGTTGCATGGACCAACTAATAGCCACATCATGAATTTTTAATGCAGCTCATTTCCTTCAAACATTTCCATCTGTACTGTGGGGCTAACCCCCAGTGACTTCCATCCGTTTGGTCCACGGAAAAACCACCTTGCCACCTTCACGGCAAACGTCTCGCTGATGATGAGGAGGCTGAAATGGCGGTACAGAAGTGGCTGAGACAATAGTCAAAAGACCTCTCTGCTGTGGGTTTTGACGCACAGGTAATGAGATGGGACAAGTGTATCAATGTTGGTGGAGGACATGTCGAGAAATGGATGCTTTTCCTGGCTTGAATACCACATGTTTTACATTTTATATCCATTTGTGACCTATTTACTGAGTGTCCCTCATACTTATCTCTCCTCAAGCGGCCTCCATAGTCTAGAGGTAACGTTCCCACCTCATGACTCGTAGTACGCGGGTTCAAATACCCGGCGGAGGTTGTCGNGGCGGAAAAATTCAGGGAACAAGTCCTCCAGGAGGGACTTTAAGCCGTGGGTCCCGTGTCGTAGCTTTACGGCACGTAAAAGGACCTCATATCTCCTAAGGAGGTCACTGAGCCAAATTACGGACGTTTTCCGCCCAACAGCAGTCTCTAATACCTCTGGTAGATGGGGGAGGCATTATAGATACCTCTCAGCTAGTAGAGCCGGTCTCGCTGGCTGGGCAGGACTGATGGTAAGCACCAGTACCGGTAGGATATAGAGACTGGTAGAAATCACAGATTGAAGCACAATGGACCAATACAGGTCTAAGTGCATGGGGAAACCCACCCTCTCCAAATAACTAACTAACTAACTAACTAACTAACTATCTCTCCTCAGAAAACAAGAAAAGTAGGCTGAAACAGATGCACCATGAATACAGGAATAAGCTCACTAAAAGCCTCACCTACTGCACTGCATTGTGCAACCATTTGGCTAAGGCATGCGAAACTGCAAGCCAACAGATAGACAGCCCTCCACTTAAAATGTTATTTGGACAAAATGCACGAATATAATATAGGCTTCCTTTTGACAAACTTTACAGGAAAGCTACAAGTAATATTCATCTCATGTTACACAGAACAAACACATTACCATTAAAACTGCATGTTCAAGCAAGGCATTTATTAAGGGCATATCAGCATCTTCACACATATGTATAAACACTGAACATACCAGAAGCATCATGGTCAGCTGACGAGGGGTCCGGGTCAGGTGTTAAGTTCTTATTCAGCACATCATGGTCTTCATGGAAAGTGATGGAGTGCAGTTTCTGTCCCATCAAGAAACTCTGCAAGGCAAGGAATACCCACATAAGCTTGCAAACTATTTACTTTGAACATATAGACTTGTAAACAGCAACATATTAGTAATTACCTTCTTTCTTAACAAATATATGCTTTGGATTAAATGTAAGGTAAAGTTGTCCCTGTACTCAACTAATTAAGCACTACACCATGAAGGGATATGGGAGAATGGATGTATAGATCCATATTTTCTTTACCTCGGCACTAGTTGGAGGTAAAGTGGTCACCTTCACGCCCCGGCCGCTTTACCGCAGGGGAGAAAGCCACCGGTACCCACTGGATAGGAGGATGGGTGGGCTCCAGGGCAGGTATGGACGACGTGGAAATGAGAAAATTCTTGACCCTACCGGGACTCGAACTCCGACCCTTCAGTCATCCAACCCATAGCCAGTCACTATACCGACTACGCTATCCCGGCTCCCATATTCTTTGTGTTGGTATAAAAACGTCACAAACCTGGGACACATGTTTCAAGGACCGTGCTTTCCTATTACAAATACTTTTGTATGCCTCACTGCATAAATAAAAACTATGGATACACTCTTTTATAATTTCACGGGAAAGGAAAACCTTATAATCCTGGATGCTAATCTGTTGCAGATACAACATAACAATGACAATTTTTTCCCCGCAAATAAATGAACGCTCTAATTCCTGAGTTGTGGCTGGCATTACATAGATGTGAAACGGATTTGATTCGATTCAGCAGCATGAAGAAGCTACTGGACACATGAGTCAGGAAATCAGGACCTGTGCAAAACTTGACTTCCTTGGTTGCAGCCATCATGCCCCTTATCAGCGCTTCATTCATATGTCCATAACACAATTACCACACGGTGGCGCAAAACGTTAATTTCTGAGATACCAATTAAACAAATCACGAGTTTGTTAAAAAAAACAAGCCATGTTCTTCCATCCTAATTAAGGTTCTGGACATTTTAAAACATCTGTATACGCCAACAGGCAACAGATTATTCGAAAGTTGTAATACACGTATGTACGTAAAATTAAAAGAAACCCCAGACTGACAAAATGAATGTTTCCCATCACAACTTCAACTTTACTCTCAACGAAAGGAATTAATATTCAGACAACCAGCTGCTTGACAGAAACATAAACCATTTTAGTAGATGGGTGGTATCTACAAACTAAATCAACTCTTGGCTTATAAAACACTGCATCCACTGCACAAATCAACCATGTTTTGTAGTAAGTTTCATTTAATTCCCTTTCAAATTTGTTGCAATAATAATAATAATATCTATCATGTGCAACATTATACCTGCAAACTAGTCAGATGGGCTGAACTAAAAAGACGACAACCATTCCTTTCAACGTCCTTCACGATTCATCAACAACAAGAATTCTGCCAAGCGAATGCAGGCTAATTAATTATACCAATGTGCATAGGGTGACAGATGAGATGGAATAGGCAAGATATCTTGGATCTGAACTGCATAGAGAAGAAACGTTCGTTGCACTACTGGGAATACAAGATCAGTAACAACCCAATCAGTAATAATGCATTGCAGCATCTAATGCAAATAGAACATGGTAAAAATTAAATGCCCCCTACTGTGCTCACTGTACCGATGTGTAAAGTGCACTGTCTTTTGAGAGCGCGGACTCAGGCAGAAGACTCCGACGATGTTCCTCCTGTGAAGTCGACCTGATCCAAAACACGTAAGTTTACTTCAAGGCTGCATCGTTTAAGTCCGTTTAGAAGAAATAATGAATAACGGACAGAAAAAAAACAAGTGAAGACACTGAGATAAAGACGCAAAGAGGAAAGGAAATAAGTTAAGAAAATAAACTGCTGATAATGTTAGGATACAGAAAATTTAAATAGCGGGGCTAAGTGATTGGCTATGGGACTGAACTTCAATGCTGGCACAAGCCAAGTACCGTTCTCTTCGCCACGGCGTTCAAACCCGCATGAATCCAGCACTCCTTCCCCCGGCGAGCATCAGGAGATCCTTCCTGTGGATATGCTGGCCTGAGCGTGGATCTCAACACTCACTTCTATTCAGTCCCAAAATCTAACATACACTGAGCTCAGTCTCCAAGCTTCCTCACACTTCCAGATCATGGAAGCACAACTCTATGCGGACCACAGGCTCAAGAGGAGCAGAAGGACAAGGGCAATTTCTTGATCTTCTGTCCTCTACCATTCACGAAATCACACGACTCAAAATATCTGAGCTCCCGATTGCTTCGATATGAAAGAGCAACATGTCGCTAGTACCAAGATGCGACTGCCAGTCTGTAATGTGTTTCCCACGCCTTAGAGGTTCGGCAACTTCTCTCACAGAACTGTATCGCGGGCAGACTACACAAACTCGTGAAAGGGACGGCAAGATGCTGCCGAACTCCCATTGTTCTGTACGCGAGACAGAAGTAGAGATAAGAAGAGCTGGGGGTAGGACTTCGATGTCGGTGTAGGAAGAACTGGCAGTGGCACTGTAGCTAGAGATCTATTTCTTACAGTGCAGTTAATGACACCGTACCACTCAGGATTTTACTGGTGCGCCATTAGACTTCAGAATGGCTACAATTCTGCTGTTCGACTGAGCAAAAGCTTTTGTTGCACTTTTCTCATTAAATAGGTAGCTCAGGCGACCGCCTCTGTGGTCTAGTGGTCAGAGTTCCTGGTTACACATCCAGAGGTCCGGGTTCGATTCACAGCGTTACTAGATTTTCTGAGAAGTGGTGGGTCTGGGGTTCACTCAGCCTCGTGAGGATAACTGAGGAGCTATTTCAAGGAAATAGCGGCTCCGGTCTAGAAAACCAAAATTAAAGGCCGTGGGGATTCGTTGCGCTGACCGCGTGACACCTCTATCCGCAAAAGTTGGCGCTAACTTCGCCGACAAGTGGCGGTCGGTATACTTCGCTTGTGGACTAAAACCTCGGAGTTTGTTTTTTGTTATGGGTAGCTCGGTCAGCACACTCGTATTTACTGGCTACGTGCTGTACGGTGGGGGGGGGGGTTAATTCTCAGCGGGGGCAAAATTTTTCGCATTTCCGCCCAAACCGGCTCTGGAGCTCATCCATTAAATACGTACTGGGTCTAAAGCGGCCTGGACGTGAAGTTGGTCAGTCACCTCTACCTTGTGCAGGGGTTAAGAGTTATGTATCAACTTATCGCAATACATCATCATGACGTGGAACTTAATTACGAAAAGAGAACTGACTTTTTGTTTACTTATGTATGCAGAAGACAGGCGTTTTCACTTTCTCAAACATCAGGTCGCAGTCCATTTGGGGCATGGATTATATTGGCGTTCCTTCTGTATTGCGTCATCCTGTCTGGATAGAGAGACCACGCGATGTGCCGACCCCACATACAATGCTCACTGTCACGTATCTAAGGTACTTTAAACCGGAGTATGCCGCAATTTAAACGCCATTAGCTAAAACGTCTGTGTGAAGAGAAATGGGCCGTTTTAGCACTGACTGTTTAAATGTTCAAAGCGTTCGTTGCTTCAGAATTAATTTCGAATCAGAGCTAGCTTAATACATTAATCTGTCCTCACCAGCGATTTCTGGTACATCTGCTAGCAAGCTGACAGACACACACATACGCTGCGGGACCTGAGCATTTATTCATTGCAGCCGAATCTATCGGTCACCATGAAACGTCAATGACCAGTCACACCCCTGTCTAATGCAATTTGTCTTGCCTTAGGTGTGCTGCAGGAATCCACGCCCTGTACCACAAGCGGCGATTTTAACAGGCGGTCGCCATGGTAGCACGCCATCTTGTTTTAAGCTACAACCCCTCCCCCGCGACACCATATTAAAAAGTGGTACGGGAGCGAACATTCCCGTTTTATAAATAAATCTGCTATAATTTCAAATTCAGCAGAAAATTGTCAAAATCATTACGAAAAAACTATCACACACCGGAACTCCCGCCATGTAGAAAAGTTTAATGCTGTACTTATAAAAAATCTCCATTCCGTGCAGCAGAAAAACTGCCTCGGTCCTAAGTCTTGGCTACTGATAACCAACATCAAGTGGAATCCAAGGCACCCCGGTATCTCTAGTGTCTGCAGGAAAGAACAAAAAAGGGACCAAAAGAAACCGAGGGGGAGATAAGACTTCAAAGACTAAATTTCTTCTAGATAATATATAAACATTCAGTTCCACCTCACAAGAAACATATTACGTCTTAGCTACAAAGCTCAACCGGTTAATGCTCTTTAGGGAACCAACTGCTGTTTACTGTGGGAACCACAAGGAACATATATATACAGTCATTCATTCATCAGTAATCTGTCAAGACGACAGGTCCACAGTCTCTTCCAAAACAGTTCCTCCACTTAATGCGATCTAGAGCTTTCCCCTTCAAATGAGAATATCCTCTTCTGTCCCCAAGGCCATCCAGCATCTTCTTACGTCTTCTTCCTCGTCTTCTGGTCACTTCTATCCACCCCTCTGTCTTTCCTTCAATCGCTTCTTTTAGAAGGCAGTTACTGCGTAAGATATGACCAATCCAATTAGCCTTCCGTTTTCTTATTTCGTGTAGGATATTCCTCTGCTCACTGACTCTAAATAACACTTCTTCATTTCTCACATAATCGGTCCAACTGATCTTCTCCATCCTTCTCCAACACCACATTTCGAAGCTTTCCAGGTGTTTCTGATCTACTTCCCTAAGTGTCCAAGTTTCAGCCCCATACAAAGCCAATATATATTCTTTTTTAATTATGTAACTTACCTCCTTTAAAATCTTCATCTTTTATTGTATTTTGTTTCACATTATTGTATTACGGTATACTGTCGAAAATCCAACATGGCACTGAATTATAAAGTATGCAATTCAATAGCTTAAGAACACGCTAATTGTGCATTTGCCTGATGATGGCTTTCTAAAAAGCCGAAACATGTGACAATATACTGTTAAACGTGGATTTTTTTGTTGTGTTGAGGCGGATTTTAATAAAGAAATTTATATACAAACACACTGCGAGAACAAAATGCA